GGTGACTGGGTGAGAGCTCTAATGGCAAATAGTATGCACAATTTAAATCCAAAAGAAGCTCTTAGCATAGATAGTGCTGATTAAATGAAAAAAAAAAAAAGTCCTACTGCCTCTTGTATACTTCTGTGGGTTGGGGTATTGCTACACTGCAGTAAGAAACAGTCATGCCCAGTTTCTGAGGGGTTACCGTGTTAGTCTGTTTCAGCAAAAACAGCAAAGCGTCCAGTGGTACTCTAAAGACTAACAAATTTATTAGGTATTGGGGCATAAGCTTTCATGAGATACAGCTCACTTCTTCAGCTGCTGAGGACACCAGAAAAGGAAGGATTCAGAGATGGGAATTGTTCCCTCAAAACTTTTCCATCCACATGCGGATATCTTTTTGTATGTGCACTGAGGCATGCATGGGTGAATGTGCACCACCCTGAGAAAGAAAGAACTTAGCTGTGGGTACTCTGCTAGTCAGCTGGGCAGCTTTGGAGTTGCTCCTGAGCGGCTATGCAAGTGCATAGCTAACAGGGAACATGGGTCATACTGATGCTATTGTTAGTCAAGCTAGCATGGCTAAACATGGCAGTGAAATATCCTCATCAATGCTTCACGGTGGGCTGTATTAGCCCACCTGGAACTGTGGGTTGGAACTCATGCTCCTAGCCTGAGCTAGGATTTGTGCCACCTCCTCTTCCCAGCTACTTTTAGCTGTGCTAGCTAAACTGAAATTAGGGGAGGTATGCCGAAGGGAGCCGCGCGTGCAGCTCCGACTATGGCATAAATATACCTTGCATGTGGAGGATGAGCGGAGGGAAGAGAATGCTGTCCACGCTGCTGGCTAGGAGGGGAATGTGGTCACCAGGCCAATCCACATAGTAACGAGACTCACAAAGGGACGCCACGTTCTCTCTCAAGCCTTATATACCTCACCCCTCCACTGCCTGGCCCACGGTGATTCCCAGAATGGCTGCAACTATGTTGGAATGCACCCTTCTATGCGGCCTCCTTGTTCCAATGGAGTGATGTGGGGTGGGAGAAATTCAACCCTGCTGAAAACTTGGTTTGACAATACCTGCTTCTTGGTACATTCCTAGTGGCCCACATGCTGGGAAAGAGAATTAGGCTGAACCAAGGATCAAAGCCACCCGGGGGAGCTTGGGACCTTGGCAAGTAGATGAAAATGTAGCACCGCTTTCCCTGCCGAAAGGAGGCCCGTAGTTTAGTATTGTGGCTATTTCTGTGCTGCTCAACACTACATAGTCAGAGAAGGGGTAGAACCCAGATCCTGCTGCTTTAAAAGCTCAGGCTCCTGCCACTTGAGTTAACGCCAATTTTTTCCTTATTTGAATCTAGCCCTTAGTTGAGCAGTTTCCCTTCTCCCCCATTCAGCATCGTGGGTGTGGGTAAATCTCTCGCACACACACACGCCTGTATGTTAACCTTCTCTGGCGGATATGCCCTAATGGAGTACTGCGTGGGGTTTGTCTACACTGCACATTAAACCTGGGCCTGTATGGAGTTTCCAAGCCTGGGCTGGAAAATCAATACTGCACTTGAAATCTAGTTTACGCTTCCGGGACCTGGGTCTGTCAGCTGTGCTAATGCAGCCAGGCTGCACTATGCAGGCCCTGCCTTGGGTCTCTGGCTCGACCTGTGCACGCTGCCATATGATGGGGCTTGGATCCAAATCACAGCAAGACTTGGGCTCTGACCTAACTCCCCATCAGGGTCCTAGGACTCAAGTTCTGCGGGCTTGCAAACCTGAGTCCAACTAATTTGTGTGTGGGTGAAAGGGAACTGGGCTGAAACTTGAGTCCGAGTGCACTGTAACCTTACTTTACCTGAGACCTTCAGCCATCTCATGCTTTTCAGCACACTGGGCTACCGTAATCCAACAAGAACAAGGGGGAGACCTAAGATGACTTGGAAGCATACAATTATCAATGACATAGAAAAATTGATTTTGAAATGGGAGGAACTTAGGTGCACTGTAAACAGACCCTTAATACTTTTTCTTTAATAAAGGATTATATGAATCTTCACAGGAGGACAATGGCCTTAGCTTGGTCTCATTATACCTTTACTCTGTGTTCTTTTTTTATGGCTTTGTTACTGTTCTAAAAGCTGAAACAGCTTTCCCCAGCCATCCTCCTTCTAAGAACAAAATGCTGTAGGTGTAAACTGTTTGCCTCTGTCAGTAAGTCCCTGGCATTCTTTGGATCAAGTCCTTTCACTGTCAGACAGTTAATTTGCTGCAAAGTGAGAAGCTGCAGATGGCTGCTGATCTGACTCAGTGGAACTGCTTGACAGACTCCAGCTGTGATACACTGGTTAATTTAGCTAATTGACATGCATTAGGCAGACATTCTGAGAGTGATACCTCCAGGGTGGGATGACCACAGACACTGATGTGTGTGCCTGAAATGTTTATATTCAGCCATCTGCTCCTTCAATAAAAGGGAAATAGAACTTGGTTTGGAAGTGAGAGGAAAAAGTCTCCATGTAACTTAATTTGTGCCCACTATTGTTTGGGTCATTTCAGAAATCCCAGGGCCTCCCACTGGGAGTGCAGACTCCTTAGCAGTGTAGTTGGCCTTCATTTAAAAATATTGCCTGTGGGATGAGAGAGATTATATGAATATGTTCCCTTCCTGCACAAATGTACACGAGAGAGGAACAAATTTAATTAAAAATGCCCTAGGTCTATCAAGAAGGGGAACTCCATGAATTTTTCCTCTCTTCCTTTTCAGTTGGGGTACATTGTGGATGAAGGCTCAGAGAGTCAGTGTTACCTCTAATTTTTTCCCATCCATGCATGGAATAAATTGTATTAAGCGCACCAAGACATGTGGATGTGCCCCACCAGTAGAAACATGTGTTGTCAACTGCTGCTGGCTGTGGGCTCTCTGCTAATCAGCTGGGTGGCATCTGAATCTCACCTAGAGGGCCACTCCACTGCTCAGCTTAGAGGGAACCCTGTCAAGCATTACCCAAGAGTTCCCCTGAGAGCCCTCCCAGCAGATACATCTATTGGAAAGGGGAAGATTAGTGATCTTCTCGAGAACATTGAGGATAGGCAGCAAGCGCCTTGAATAAAGGTTGTTGGGCTCTTTACAGGATGGACACCATCTAGAGGGATAGACATGTAGAAACTCCCTTTCTAGCCATAACTGCATGAACCACATCTCCTGCCATGCACAGCGACATAACATCCTGTGGCAACTACAGCAGTTGCATAAGTGCATGTAGGATCATAGTACCTTTTTTGTGACTTTTTGGCTCATAGGCTGTGTCTACACTGCCGCGATCTCGTGCAAAAATGGCTGCTTTTGTGCAAAAACTTGCTGCCTGTCTACATTGGCCTCGTGTTCTTGCGCAAGTACTCTGACGTTCTAATGTATGAAATCAGGGCTTCTTGCACCACAGCTGGGACCCTCCCACTCAGGAATAAGCCCTCTTGCGCAAGAGCTCTTCCAGAAAAGGCCAGTGTAGACAGGCAACATGAATTTCTTGTGCAAGAAAGCCCTATGGTTAAAATGGCCATCAGAGCTTTCTTGCGCAAGAGAGCGTCTACACTGGCATGGATACTCTTGCGCAAAAGCACATGCCAGTGTAGATGCTCTCTTCTGGAAGAGTTTTTGCAGAAGAACTCTTCCGCAAAAGAGTTTTTGTGTGAGAACACGCCAGTGTAGATGTAGCCATAGTGTTTTCCCCTTCTGGAGAAAGTTACACACATTCCTTTTATTTTTCCTTTAACATTGGACATCTATTTCTGGAGCACCATGTGGCCAATCTGCCATTCATGGACCATAGCTGGGGAATTACTGTATGGGATGTGAGCGCTCAGATCCAGTTCTGGGAAAAAAGTCACTTTAGAGTGTGCTGCATTGATTAGGCTCTGCTGGAACCTCCGTGACTGAAGGATGAGTTATTCAGTACTTCTCTCTCTGTTAGGATGATGGTCTGCTATCTCCCTCTTGCAGCTTAGGTATCAAGCACGTAATTCAGAGGGGCTACCTCCCTCTTCTTTTAGCCTGAGCTATGCTCACCCTGGGAAAGTTTGGCAACAAAAGTATTGTTGATGTGAAAAAGTTGTGAAAATCATCCAGACCAGTTTTTCCTGCCTCCCATTGTCAACATTTGATGGCACCAAATCGACATATAAGAGCAAAGCAGTGTGGGTAAGCAGGGCTCGACAAATTATACAATCTACTTGCCCGTGGCGAGTAGATTGTAACCTGGAAGAGCTGGGTTCTGGCGATCTGCACATGTGCAGAACGATCTGCACATGTGCAGATCGCCGGACAGTGCGGCTGGTGAGCGGGGCTCGCCATGGTTCGGCGAGCTCTTTGGGTAAGCATCCCTCATTACAGTGTTGTGGGAAGGCAGAATTGATCCCTGCATTTTTTGGGATTCCTTCCTAGCTCTCTAAGCTCTTTGTCAGAGCAGCACAGCAGTCTCTCTAGCCCTCCCCTTGTAGCAGCAGTTTATATTTCTAGTGTAGGGCAGAACAGAAGCATTCCAGTGATTTGCTCTGTTTCCCAAACAGAGCAGCTCACTCAGCTGTCAGATACTTCCAGGAGGTTTGAAAAGGCAGCAGATATCACAAAACACTGAGCACAGTCATCAGGGCATGCATTGGGGAATACTGGGGGAAGCCAGTTATCTCAACAAAACAAACAAGAATCCACACCGGCTTTTTGTTGACAATAAAAGGGGGAGGGGAAAAGACAAAAGTCCCTTGTAGGGCTGGAAGATTTTTGTCGACAAAACTGTGTTTTTCCCGACAAAAGTTACATCGTAGTGTGTACACTCTCACTGTTTTGTCAACAAAAAGCAGTTTTTGGCAACAAAACATTCCAGTGTAGACAGCTGAATATTACAAAATAAAATTCTGGGATCAAGGTGATGCTGTGGGGCTCAAATCCCAATTGCAGTTCTTGTTGCTAAACATCTAAATGCTTCCTGGCTTTCACTAATATTTGTCCCTTTGTATTCTCCTCTCTCAGCCCATTTGACACAGAGAACCTGTTTTTGTCACCTGGAACCACTTCCAAGTTTTCTCTAGGCAGTAGGAAAAACTCCTTGTACAATTGGACTCCACCAAACACACCCAGCTTCAGAGAGAAATATTATCTCGTAAGTATGATGGGGGAAGTAAAACACTGTGCCCAAACAGTGGACTGGGACTGTGCGGGGGGAAGAGGACATCAGAGGGTTGCAGAATAAAACTGGACAGACCACTGCCACAGGGCAGTAGGGTGATCATTATGGGGTGTTGTTTTTTTTTAAATGTAACCCGTTGTTTTCAATCCCACTTTGGAATCTTAAAATGCAAAACTGTTTTCCTTGCCAAGTATTCACCATGGCAGCTGGAACAGTCCCATCAGGCATTGTGCAGCCAAGCATAAATTAGAGCAGTCTACACTGGGAACGGGCCAATCCCAGGAGCAGCGAACCATAGTGGTGGCTTAAAGGTGGAGTGTAAAGCATTCCGTCTTCCCTCCCCGCCATCTAGAGCCAAATGTAGTGCAGTTGGATCAGAGAATCTGCTGTGTTTATAATGAGATTTTCACTTAGTGTTGCTGCTTTGTTCCCTATGCTCCTGCCTCTTACTAGCACAGGTAATATGTAACAGAGGCATACCTGCGTATATTCCCCTAACCTCAGGTTCCCATACCAGCCTTACATTCAGATTTGTGTGCTCTTGCCAAGCCAGCAGAGGGAGTACAAAACATTGCTCGTAGACAGCTCTTCTGCAAACAGTGGCAGCGTGGGACTATACAGTTGTTTAATGAGTGTGCTGTATGAATAACTAAACATGAAAATGGTTTCCAGCCAAAAAGTTTGAACCGATTTGTTAAGAGTCCCTTCGGAATGAGAAATGTGACAGGCACTGGCGTCTGAGTATTTTTTAGCATTCCATTTAAAGTTCTTTAAATGCGAGTCCCTGAGGCTCTTGGGCTACGTGGCTTGCTCTGACAACTCCTCTGGTCTGCATGGGGGTTTCTTCATTTGGCCTTTCTAGCTGTGTCCTGCCCTACCCCCAATTTCTGTGGAAGGTTAGTGTGGGGGTTAAGCGCTGAGGGTCTTTCCTGGGCTTTCCATCATTGGGTAAATCTCATAAGTATCACTTCTTCTTGGCTGCAGTCTGTTTTGCAGCAACGAAAGAACCATTGTGACATAAACAATGAGGCACAAGCCCCCTGCATACTGAGCTACTTGGCTGACTATGACTTCGACATGCATCGGAGGCTTGAAAAACACAGCTCTACGGAGACCGATTCATTCAACTCCCAGGATCAGAAAGGGACAGAAACCAGCAATGTGACTCCAGCTTCCGACCACACGACCCTGCCAGTAGTTCTTGTACAGGATGCCAGTGCAGAAGGAAGACAACACAAGTCTCCAAACCACACAACGCTCGATATCCTGAAAGAGACTCCTCCCATTGATGGAGCGCCAAATAGCCCATCCAGCCTATGGGACATAAGGAAAGAGGGCAGAGATTCTGTCAGCCAGCACTGGAGTCATCAGTCTGTGGAACAAGAAAATGTCTTGTCTGTTGGTCGGAAAAACTTGAATGCTGAAAATGACATAAAACCAGCTGGAAGCGCCAAAGCAGTCGAGAAACTCCTTCAAGAAGTATTAAATTTGCTGAAGTCGCAGAATCCAGGACAAACCCCATTGGAGGGACTGGAGTACCAAGTTTTATGCATCAGGGACAAATTAAAGGTGTGGTTTTAATTTCACCTTTGTGCAATAAATTGTAGTTTGCTGTTCATCATTTTTCCTTTTATTTTTCCAAGGGGCTTATAACCACATTATGGAGTATCGATGGCTTCAAAATTTTCAGTGGCACGTTCCCAAAATGTTGGTTTGACCATCAGTGCTTAGGCATTACTCAGAAATGACTGGAAGTCAAGCCAGCTAGCTAAGTGTAACAATATTTCAGTCTGTGTAACAACTCTCTTACACTCTATCCAACATGCTCTGCAGAGATGAATAACAGAGGGAAGGAGAAATTAGAAAGCAGAGTATAATCAAGACCCTGTGTACTCTTAAGTCAAGCTGGACCTAAATTCTGTAGGAAGGTCCGTGCATTGTGGGAAGTTGGCGTGGTATTCCACAGTTACTTCATTTAAATTAAGATTTTAATGGAAAATAAACCCCCCAATATGAATAAGGATAGTAGCCATTATATTTTATTTTTATATTAAATTCTACATCTCAATCAGTTTGGGATCAGGATAAGCACATTTTGTGGTTATATCAACTAAAATGGTCAGCAGCGTATATCCCTCGATGAACGGGGTCATCAGAGCTCATGATTCCGGCTCTCTGCACCCTGGGGGAATGACACTGCATCAGATTAAAATTCAGTTTCTGTTTAAGGATATTCTCACAACCATATGAGCGTAGAAACATTTCCCCCCTTAGATAAAAAGATTCTGGAGCACAACTTTGTGGCAAAGGATGGATTGTCGCACAGCTCTGGGATAGAGGAGGCCCTGTGCATAGGGGAGAGAGAGAAGATACTGTAAGATTTCAACTGAGGTCTGAAATAAGAATGACAACGACTTAGCGTTCAGAAAAATAAAAAAAAAATAGCTCCCAAACAGTGTTCCCTCTAAACTTTCCCATCCCTCTGTGGATTTTTTCCATGTGCAGAATAATTTTTACATGCACAGAGGCATGTGTGAATGTGCACTACCAGTAGAAAAAAAATACTTCGCTGTGGGTGCTCTGCTAATCAGCTGGGTGGCATCTGAATCTCTCCTGAGTGGCTGCACAAGCGCCCAGCTTACAGAGAACACTGCCTCCAAACCAAGCCCTTTCACAAAACTTCTACCCCAACAAGAGAAAGAGGAGAAATGTCAGAGACTCCTTGAAGGGTTGGGGACTTTGCTATTGAAGCTACTGAGATACTGCAGTAATGGGTGGCAATATAAAACCGATAGCTCTGGATCAGGAGTTCTCAAAGCATCCTTGTAAAGAACAATACTCTATTTCCTATCTACCAACAGCTGAAGACATCTTGTCAGGAACATTCATCCATGGAGAGTCTGATGGTGGAGATGGTGCTGGAAAGTTTTGACTTTTTAAACACGGACTGCAGTGCTGATGAGGTTTCCTTATTTGGCAGCATAAGGACAGACAGTCTCAGGTGAGCAGAGTGCTGCTTCCCATTGAAGGATGGGAGGGGTTGATAAGAGAAAGAGTAGGAGTTAAATACACTGAACTTTCAGGCAATGGCTGTGCAGGATGAAGAGGTTGGTGCCCAGAGTGCAAACATCCAGGAGGGAGAGGAATTAGATACTATGAAACTTAACCTGGTAATGGCTTGAAATTTGGGAATGTTTAGGCTGAATATCTGGAAAAACACTCCCTCCTACTAAGCTGCAGAATGGGATAACTGGGACATTTAAAACTAGTCTGCAGAAGACAGATGCATGGGTGTGACCAGGAGCAATTCTGCAAGGGAACAGGCCAGGAGCAACTCACTGGTGTCTTCCATTTTTTCCTTCTACTGAGTTCAGTTTCATATTTGCAACCCTTGCTCACAACACTGATTATGGGCCTGATTCTAAGAAGTGCAGAGTACCCCCATCTAGACTAGCCTGCAGAGCATCCTTGAGTTGGAATTGCTAGACAACAAAGTGTTTTTATTTTGCTTTTGCAGTACATCATTCCGAACCGGCCAGCCACTCAGTACACAGTAGGATGGTAGTGTCTTTGGATGGTAGCCCTCTCAGAAATTGAGTTAATAGGATAAATTGATAAACGGGCGCCTTCCTGACACAAGAATTACAGATGTAAATCCCCATATTCACCTTTGTCGGAAGTTTACACACAATCAAGAGAGCAGGGTCCCTCCTCTGAAAGGGCGTCAGTTATTTGTCAAAAGTGGTAGCCACTTTGGAGATTTGGGGGATTACAGAGAAGACAGGTAGAGAAACCTTCACACTCACTGTGTTGAAGATACAGGAGTTAACTGTGGCGCTGGAGCTATTTTTAGGGTGCGGTTGCTAGGCTTGCGCTCCCCTCAGCTTTTCAGATCCCTCACTACCCCAGGCTGTGGTCACACTTGGAGTTACCAGCTGTCCTGGACCAGACAGACCAGACACCATTGCTGCTAATGGCATCCAGTTCAGCTAATGGCATCTCCAGTTCCTGGAGAGTTGGCAACCCAGCCATAGCTGGAGGCAGCTGCAGAGCCCCAGGCTGGCGGCAGGACCCAAAGTGGCAGCGCAGCCTCCAGGTCTGGTGGCCTGGGCCCCATGGATAGCGGGCTGCACAACCCCAAGGGGTGCTGAAGCTAGCAGGACCAGTGGGACTATGGAGGGGCCACTTGAAGGCAGGACATGGGGGTGGGGAGATCACAGAGGGGCTGCCCCATGGCCAGAACACAGGGCTGGTGGAGCTGGCAGTAGCTCAGTCCCTGGATGTGGGGAAGTTGGGTAGAAAGCTTGGGGGTGCTGCAGCACCCACCACACTCCTGCTTCTCACACCGCTGGGAGTTAATGGCAAGAGGTGCTTTCTAGACTTTTAAATAACTTTTACTTTCTCTTGGTGTTTAGCTCTTTCTGCTTTATCATACCCAAGGACTAGTTAACATTAACTACTTGTTCCCCCTCTTCAACTTTGCTGACAGTACGTACAATGACAACACACTGGGCTATGAGACGAAAACAGAAACAGCAGAGTTAACCACCGGAAATGAGGATTTAGACAGACTTCTGGTAGTTCATCTGCAGCTGTGCAAAGCTCTCTTGCAGGTAAGTAGTGGCGCACGGATGATCCATTTGCAGGGGATTGGTACTGGCTCAAATCCCAGGCTGCCATGTGGGCACTCTGCATTTTTGCAGGAGCACAAAGCAGGCATAGCCAGCGCTATGAGAATCGTCCTAACACAGGACTCTCTGTTAAGTGTGGGAGGAACAGTTTCTGTGCCATCCCCATTTTCTCTGGCTGTTGGGAAAGGGGACATGATTGGAGGGAAAGTCAGCCTAGCTGGGACATACTTCTGCCCCAGCACTTTATGCTCTATTTACTTTTCACATCCATGGAGAGCCGGAATTGTATAAGGCAGCCTTCACACTACCCTGATTTACTCCAGAAACCAGCTCCTAATGCAGTCGGTGGAGGATCAGGGAGTGCAACACTCATCTCCCCACTCTTCCTGAGCTGCACTGTGCACTCCCTGGCTGTAGGTGAGGATCTGGGCTATCATTTATAACCACCAAGGAAAGACCGAGCTGGCGACTTATGAGGCTGTTATAAAATGGAACGACTAAGAATGGAAATGCAAATCGCTTGAGCCAGATTTTCAACTTGCAATACACAGATCTATGCATAGAGAAATCTGGTGGAATTGCAGTTCTGCAAAACCAGACCTTTTTTGCTGGAGTAGGAAATAGTGGCTCTGCACTCAGAGGAGTTATGCATGGTGAGCTGGCCATGAATGAAGTAGGAAGAGTTTGGATCAAACTACGCACAGATTGGCAAGGGAGCAATTTTTCAGAGAGAGAAAAATTAAATGTTGCTGGAGTAAAACAGCCAGTATCCAGGGTAAGTAGTGATGATTTCCCTAGAGCACCTTTGGGAGTCAGAAATGCTGACCAGCACAATCCCAACTCACTTGACTAGGATATCAGCATCCGTTAGGATCAGGCCCTGATGTATAAAAGGCATTATAGAAGGACACTCCACACACCAGTACTATACATCAGCCTGTGCTCTTTTCATCCTCAGCCAGGGTATTGTGAAACGGAGAATAAACTCCACAGTCCTTTTCCCTGAGTGGAAATAGGGAGGAGGGTGCTGGGGAGAACCCAGGCCCACCATATATTCCAGTTCCAGCCCAGGGCTCTGTAGTAGTAGCTGCCTGTATGAGTCCCTGACCCCTGCTATAAGACAGCTCTTAGACCCCCGAGCTGCTTCCCCAGCATCTTCCTCAAGTTCAGTTGTGGTCTCCTTTCCTCCTGCTCTCAGCAGCACCCTCCTCCATCCTCTTAGCTACATGCATGCCCCAACTGCAGGCAAAGCTGCTTTTAGAGCCAGTCTGAACTGGTTTTCTTAATTAGCCCCAGGTGTCCTAATTAGCCCAGGCTGGCCTGACTTTGCAGGCCTGGTCAGTTAGCCCCAGGTGTTCCACTGCCCTTGATTGCCTCTGCTGGTTCTAAACCAGCACCTCCCTGTTATGCTGGGAGCAGAGAACTCGTCAGTCTGAGGCTAATCTCTCCCCCATCCACTACTTTTTTATAGCCTTCTGCTCTGACCCAGTCACTCCCCACTGATGGAGATTCCACAACTTCCCTAGGCAGTTTATTCCAGAGCTTACTCACCTGACGGCAAGTCTTTCCTAATGTCCAACCTAACTAGTGTGACTGTATTTTCCCAAAGGGAAAACCCCATGGGGCAGGGCCTAGGTCCCTCTCCCCACTAATGTGCCTGGGGCAGGGGCAGCAGCACGTGGGGTTTGCCCAAGTGTTCCTGCTACCCATCTGTAGCAGGCCAGCTTGAGTTCTTCCTTTCCCCTCATACACAGGGCAGCCCAAACCCCTCTAACACCTGCCAACTTGAGATTGGCCAGCGTAACCGACCCGCTGTCCTGAGCGCTCCTCCTCACCCAGGACTGGCTTAAACAGGAGATCTTCAAAAGAGAGCCCCTTCCCAAAAGTGGAAACTAGGTCTAATTAAAAAGGATGGATAAGTGAATAATACAAGTATGTAGAGACAAAATTTGAAAGGTCAATGCACCAAACAGCATTAAACTAGCTAGAGAGATAAGAGGTAACAAGAAAACATCCTACAACTACTTTAGAAGCAAGCTGACCAAGGATAGGGTAGAGGGAGCGAGGGGGAGGCGGAAACAACAACAGAAAAATCTGGAAATGGCAGAAGTGCTAAATTATTTTTTGTTTGTTTTCACACAAAAAAGTTAGTAGTAATTTGACATCTAATGTAATGAATGCTGAGGTAGGACCAGAAACGGGGAAAAAACAGACAGATAGGGAAGAAAACAAGCTAAAAAATATTTAGGCAAGTTAGATGTCTTCAAGTCACAAGGTCCCAATAAAATATCTTCTAGACTAGAGGTACCTCGCACCTGGCCCAGGCCTGCTGCAGAGAGAGGGGATTAGGAAGCCCTCTGTGGGGTAATCTGTTATATAAAACCCTCATTCCCAACGCCATCCCTGATCCCCAGCCACAGCATTCACCCAGGCACACTGGGATGTGTGTGTGGGGGGGCTCAGGGATGGGGCAGAGAATTGAGGTAAAGGGGGAATGAATTTTGTTATATGCACCTATATGGAGGTGAGATGAGACATCTTCATATTGGTGCACATAACCAAATTCTTTCTGCACAGGGACATGAAAAATTAAGAGGGAACACTGCATGACATCACCCTTGGGGGTTTTCTTACTCCTTTTATCCTTTCCTAGTGACTTTCAACGTGTCTGTCTCCTATTTCCATCTCTTGCTCAGTCCATCCAAGACCCACACATGATAAGTGGATTTCTGTGAGAGGCGGTGGTCTTCTCCCCTGGCCGCGGGAGAGTTGAACTCTGAAAGCAAGGGGGTTCAGCACTTCTTGCGTTGTGCAAAGCTTTTGTCTTAGCCTCTGAAGAAAAGTACATTTTGTTTCAGAAACTGGTTTTGACAAACATCGCCCGAGTTGTCCAGGAGAGCCTTTTGGAAGAAGTGTCACGGCAGAAAAAAGTGTTGGAGACCATCTCAAAGCTCTTTGTTCTGGAAGCTGGGAGTTTCACCTCTGTTGAGGAGGGTGAGTAACATGGCATGTGATGGCAAAGCATATATAGGAGATCAGAAAGGCGCAGGTAATGTGGCTCTCACCTCATGTGACAAATCAGGAATTGGTTCTGATGGCTTTAAAAGCAATTCCCCATTAAAGCAGCTTTTATGGATGTGTCATAAGCGCTACCAGCGGGGGCTCAGCTTTTTCTTGGTTAGAAAGGACAGGGCAGTTAGAATTTCTGACTCAGGTAATAATTCACTTGGCCCTGTATGTGCCTGCCACAGAAACAAGGGGAGCTCAAGTGTACAGATCCGTGTAGTGCAGGGGCACACTAAAGGTTTTTTTGGTTTTGCCTCCCGGTCTGAGGCACCTTCTCTTTGTGCATGTTCTGGAGAAGATCCTGAGAACAGCGACACAACTGAGCAGGATTGTAGCAGCCCTTTGGGACAATGCAACCAGTCTCTCTGCAGTGTGAAGAGCATGCAGAGGGTTTTAGAGCAGTACATACAACTTACAATGTCCACAGCTCCAAATTAAGAGAGATTTGAATTGAGCAAGAAGAAATCACATGGCTATTGCTGCAAGTAAACCACAGAGATTGTGTATTTAATCAAAAGGGGTTTTCCCCAGCCTGTACAAAGGGGGCCATGTTTTACATTTTGGAGTCCAACGATTTTCTAAAAAGTGCCTAACACTGGCTTTACTCAACTCAACTCCCTTTGGAATAGATGCAACAGGAGTTAAGCCAACAGTGAGCACTTTTGAAAATGTTAACGCTTTGGTCTGGCCCTGGGACACCAATATTATCCCTCCCTAGCAAAAAGGAGTGAAATAGCAACACAAATGAGATTATTAGATACTGCACTGTGGAGTTTTTATTGTGATGATCCAAATTAAAATGTTGGCAAGACCCCACAAGCCTTACTCAGAAAAACTCCCATTGAAATCCAGGGGAATTTTGCCTAAGTAATGACTGTAGGACGAGGCCACACATTTGGGTTTGAGAAGGAATTAGCTCCAAGAAACACGAGCCAGGTATTTTTCTTGTTCTCTAGAACAGTGTTTCTAAAAGTGGACCATGGAAACACTTTCAGAAACACTGTAACTGGCTGCCCCGGTTTCTTTATGTACTGGCACCGCAGCCTCGGAGCCTTGCATTGGCTCAGTTTTGTCCTTTGCAGCCAAGGGGAGCCGTGGGAAACAGTGGTGATCTTAGGTGGTAGGAGGATTGAAAGCCTTCCTCCCAACACATGACCCTTTTATCCTGCAAAATACTGTACTAGACTGTCAGCAATCCTAATAGGTTGATTGTGGATCAATAAGATAATTTAGGATGCTAGAGAAAGGGAATTCCTAGTAGAGCACAGTCTGGCTACGTCTACACTGGCATGATTTTCCGAAAATGCTTTTAACGGAAAAGCAAAAGCACTTTTTGTGGAAAAGCGTCTGTGGCCAATCTAGATGCGGTTTTCTGCAAAAAAGCCCCGATCGCCATTTTCGCGATCGGGGCTTTTTTGCGGAAAACAGTACTGTGCTGTTTACACTGGCCCTCTTGCGCAAATGATTTGCACAAGAGGGCTTTTGCCCGAATGGGAGCAGCACAGTATTTCTGCAAGAGCACTGATGATCTTACATGAGATTGTCAGTGTTCTTGCAGAAATTCAAGCTGCCAGTGTAGACAGCTGGCAAGTTTTTCCGCAAAATCAGATGATTTTGTGGAAAAACTTGCTAGTCTAGACACAGCCTCCATGTCCCTGCACAGGCAGGAGACAGGACCATGGTAGACCTCTCACTCATACACTGGTACGACGGCACAGAGCGCAATCCAAAGCCTATTGAAGTTAATGGAAAAAAAACTCTCATTGACTTTAATGGGCTTTGGATCAGGTTCTCAGTGAGTAATATATTGGCAGTAAAATTCAGTTGTAATGAAACCCATCTACGGGATGTAAACAAAAACGACATTCACACATTTGTTAGATGTCCCATCTGGTATCTCATGTCTCATTTAAAATGCACTCCAGCTCACTTGCTGACTTTGTAAAACTTTATTCTACAGTTATTCACAAGGCAAAAAAGCAGAAGCAGTGTCTGAAAATCTGGAGTGAATTCACAGAGCCAGGAAATATCTTGTTCTGTTCAGCGGAAAAATTCCAGAATCCACTGAAATACATATTAATGTTCAAAGTGAAGGAGAAATATCCAGGACATCTAGAAGCAGGTATTAGTCAATTACTAGAAGATGAGGCATCTGATTTTATTTGAGTTGTATATATAAAGGTTATCCCTGTAGGTTTTAAGAAGTGACCCAGAATTTGTCCTTGATGCAATAGCTTCCTTGTTTTAAGAAATTGTACTTAAAATTCCAGCTCCTTTTTTATTAGTTATGCTATAAAATTACCAAAGTACTCGGCCCTAGTGGCTCAATGAGGCATTACTTCTCTCCCATGATATTATGAACTATTAGCTTTATGTTTTGTAATAATTTTGGGTGGGGTTTTGGGTTAGCAGTCAATGGAAGTTAGGAACTTCATTCACCCTTGAAAATCGTGCCTTCGATTTGGTAAACTAGAAGGCTGTGTCTAGACTGGCATGATTTTCCGGAAATGCTTTTAACGGAAAAGTTTTCTGTTAAAAGCATTTTTGGAACAGAGCGTCTAGGTTGGCACGGACGCTTTTCCACAAAAGCACTTTTTGCGGAAAAGCGTCTGTGCCAATTGAGACGCGCTTTACCGCAAAAATACTCCGATCGCCATTTTTGCGATCGGGGCTTTTTGCGGAAAACAAATCTGAGCTGTCTACACTGGCCCTTTTGCGCAAAAGTTTGGCCACAAAAGTCCTTTTGCGTAAGTGTAGACAGCTGGCAAGTTTTTCCAGAAAAGTGGCTGATTTTCTGGAAAAACTGGCCAGTCTAGACCCAGCCCTCAGGTGGTTGGTAGTCGGCATATGGAAATATGGTCACCCTAATCATCCATATCCCACAGAATTTAAATACCCTGTATGTCACTAACTAGCCTTGGGGTGATGACATGTAAACACTGAAAGCTTAGTGCAGACTCTGGTGCAAAGGGGCATGCTTGTGCGTGCACACAGTGCCCTTATTGTAGAAAAAGAAAAAAATTGCTTAAGACACAAACAAAATCTGACATCAAGACTTTCATTTTTAGTGACCCCTAATTTAGATTTGAATCCCAACAGTGAATCACAATATGTCATGGCCAGGAATTCCCCTAAGATGATCTTTCTAAACAAAGGGATTGCCATTATGCAACCCTGGTTCTCTCCTCCCCTCCCCCAGGGCTTCTAAACATTTGCACAGAGGACTGCTTTGTTTTACATGGTAAAATCATTAGACACTGCTTTACAGGCAGGAAAACTGAGGCCCAGAAAATTTTAGTGGGACTTTCAGGGCCATACAGCTAGTGGCTAGCAGAGTTAGAATTAAAGGTTGCCAATCTCAAGAGACCCTGCATTAATCTCCTGAGACCAGGCTGCCTTAACGGTCTTAACAGACTTTCAATCAGGTTGTGGTGGTAAGTCATCTCAAACTCCTTTTGGGCTTCAGTGGCTGTTGGATGAGTTCTGGTTTGTACTTTGGTTGGAATTTTCAGCAGAGCAGGGATCTCACCTCGTAGTTGAGATGTCACCAGTTAACTGATAAGCATCACCCTAACCAGGTGATGCTTATCGGGTAACCAGTGGCAGGGCTAGAGTAGCCCCATGCTGTGCCATGATCCAGGCCAGGCCCGAGCAGTTCCCCACTTGTGTGTGTGGGGCTGCCCCAGCCTGACTGTGCTGCAGAATCCCATTTAACCAGAACATTAACTAGTTAAACTAGATTTTGCATCCGTACCTCATCATGAATTTCAGTGAGATTTAGGCCCCTACTTTATGTTCCTTTGAAAATTCCAGCCTTCAAGTTATTCTTGCTAAAACTATAAATGAAATGCATGAGCGCAGAGTCCTGCCCCTCAGCAGGCCTTCTTTGTTTGCTCTTTTCTGCATGTCTGTTCAGTGCTGCGAAGGCTCCTGGAACAGATCGTCACCTGCAGCGGGTTGCTTCCCTCTGCGAGCCCCCCTGCAGAACTGCTTACCTTATTCCAGTTTCACAGCTACCTGGAGAAAGAGCATGTTACCAGCCTGGAGAAACACTTGGCAGAACTCACCAAAGAAGGTAATGGCAGGCTGCCACGTACTGTACGTGAGCCAACCCCCCTCAGGCTGGCTGCTGGAATGACTTATGGGGTTGTCTGTGTCCTCATTCCCCAGATTTTCTTTTGAGTAGGATACGACCCTACCCTAATATAATTCAACTCTGTTTTCATTCTCTCGCCTCACTATGCTCCCATAGTTTTAAGTAGAACAGACAAGGCAAAAATCAGGCTCATCGCTTGATAGGAAAGGAACAGATTAGATACAGATATTTAGCTCAAGTGTCTGGCGTAGATCTTAAAGTCTGCAACATAAGAAGCTAGCAAAATGGCTACAAAGTAAGCTGCTGTGTTCCATAGATGAATAGAGAGTTTACAGTATTGCATGGTCACAATGGCAGAGATGAGACAGATCAGTGGCATTAAGATTCCAAGAGTAACTAATAGGCATTCCCTGAGGGAGCTATTGTCATGCTGAAAGCCAGTCCAGCAATTTAGCGTGCTCTGAAAATCTGAACATGGTGGCAGCTACTTAGGGTAGTTTCATTCCCTCTTTCACCCTGATGCAGTCCTGGAGGGGACTGGGCCATTTATGCCTGCTCAGTGTATGAATGCCAGGGAGTAGGAAAGCTTCAGAGGGGTAGCCAAGTTAGTCTGTGACTGGAAAAACTTAAAAAGCAATGAATAGTCTAGCAGCACCATAAAGACTAACAAAACATGTAGATGTGCCCATGAAAACATTATACCAACCCACTTTTTCAGATGAATCTGAAGAGTTCATCTGAAGCAGGAGTAGGAAGTTTGTCTGCTCTCTTATGTAAGGTTTCAAAAGGACAGCATGGTTCATTATTTTTAAAAACTAGCCGTTCTCTCAACAGTACAATTACTCACTTCCTAACCAGGGCATCCTTGGTCTTTTGCTGCTGTTTAACATTTTTCAATCTCCCCATATTTTCAAAAATAGTCAAATGGTCGCTCTTCTAAAAGTTCTTGGATCCACAGAATCTCTTTGTATGTATTTAAACAGCGGTGGGCCCCATTTTGTTAGGCACTATGCATATACATTGTGAAAACCTAGCTCCAATCCCAAAGAGTTTACAATCTAGGTTTATGAGGAAATGAAAAGGACAAACTGGGGGAAGAAGGGAGGATAAGAGAATGGTAAAAGGAGCATGTTTTGTGCAGACTAGCAGCTCACCTTTTGCTTACTCAAGTACCTTGCAGTGTTTTTTGCTAAGAAAGCCTTACTCAGAAAATGTTAATTATGGACACAGGTCTTAGGATAGATAAAATTGGAAGGGATGATTCAGAACCATAGACACTCTCCACAGCCATTTGTAGCTGAACCATATTCTCCCATTTGCAGTCATGCTAATTCAGGAGCTACAGTGTCCCGGGCGACTTAAAAAAATCAAGAAATTAAAAGGGAAGCGACTGAATCAACTCCAGCCTCTACCTCAAACTTTACAGCTGCTGGGGATTCTGCAGTTAGATGACAACCGCCATGTCAGCAAAGCAGCCATGTCCTGTCTCTCGCGGGCGGCCATGAATAAGAATTTCAGGGAGAAGGTATTAACTGACTTGGGCTACTTTGTGGTTTCTACCCAGCTTTCATAGTGAGATGTTACATTCAGGGAAAGTGATCTCCCTGATAATAGCTGTGGCGTGGAGGAAAGGTGGTGTACTCTGCTCCCTACGGCCAGGAAGCTTCCAGCTACTTCTTCCCAGTAGGTGCAGGGCTCCATTCTCATCTTTTCTATTCACGTGCAGAATAAATTTTTCATGTGCACCATCACTAGAAACAACCTGGCTACAGGCTCTCTGCTACTCAGCTGGGCAGCATTTGAATTTCTGCTGAGCAGCCACACAACCCCTAGCTTACAGGGAACACTGGTGCAGGATGAGTTAAGGATCAGAAATGTGTTCTGCTCTGCCTCGCACTGTCAACCCCTCCCCTGGCTGCTTTTGATCAGCATCAGAGGTGATTCTTGTATGTCGTCATTGGATCAGTTCCAGAGCAGCAAAGCTGGTCTCAGGTCACTTGGCATTCAGAACACTTGAAAGGTCGCGTAGGGTAACCAAGCACTCAATCTTGTTTTCTAGGCTCTGCTGTTTTACACGGATATGTTAGCGGACTGTGATGCAAAAATACAGCAAGCTGCATGTCTGGCGCTCAAAAACCTTAGAGTAAGTGTTTGACAAGGTAACTGGATTTGTACGATGTAGGGCTGTCTAGCGGTCTTTCCAAAGGTTCATAATATTTTGTTCAGATTTCTTTACAAGTTACCTTATACACGAAAAAACCCCACTTTCCTCAATACCCAACTGTTTTTGCTGCTAGGAGGCAACCAGCCAAAAAAAGCAATAGTCATCTAAACCCTACTGAGATGATAGACACACAATCAGGCCTACTTTCCAGGGGGAGGAGATGCAGAGGGGGCACTGCCCCAGGGCAATCAGCCACTGCTTCTGTAGCAGCAGCTGGAGCTCCTGGCCCTTTCAAGTGCTGCCAGAGCCCCAGGTGGCATGGAAAGACTGGTGGAGGAAGCTAGTGTGCAGCCCCACCCCTTCTGGGAGCATGGAGCTCCCCCTCCTTCACCTTGCCCCAGCCATTCTATCAGGTCCCTGGATACAGTAAGCTGTCTTAGTTACTGCTTCACAGTTAATAAGGAAGAGGTGGGAGGGGTCTGACTGGAGGGGCATTTTTGTTTCCAAACACAGTACTAACAATGGAGTCAAACACACAATAGACTTTGTGCTTTTGCTTTAAGATTGGCTGATTTTAATACTCTTAAAACATGATTAGAAGTGTAACTGCTCAACAATCCCAGCATGCTAGGGCCTTTATAAACCGGTCTAACTTGTCTTAAACTCTTAGGCTACATCCACACTGACAGCTTCTTGCACAAGAACTGTTTTGCAGAAATGTTCTTGCGCAAAAAGTCTTCCACAAGAGCGTGTCTACACTGGCATATGCTTTTGCGCAAGAGCATCCATGGCAGTGTGGATGCTCTATTGCACAAGAAAGCTCTGATGGCCATTTTAACCATAGGGGCTTCTTGCACAAGAAATTCATGTTGCCTGTCTACACTGCCCTCTTGTGGAAGAGCTCTTGCACAAGAGGGCTTATTCCTCATGGGGAGAGGAATAACTTTTCCGGCAGAAGCCCTGTTTTCCAACATGATACTGGAAATTTACTTGCGCAAGAACGCACGTACAGTGTAGACAGCAGGCAAGTTTTTGCGCAAGAAGCAGTCAGTGTGGACAGCCATATATCCCTAACTGGTGTGGATAAGCACTAGCTTATCTGTTAACCAGTTACATTCTCCATTGGGGCCGCTGGCAACCCCAGCATTGTTAGTCATGTAACAGATTCTCATCCGTTACACTTAATATTTTTTGGTTTTTCTATCCCTAATTGTCTTGCGTTACTAGCAGAATCCAACACATAGCAGATTTTTTCCCCCTGACGAGATGGGAGTCCAATCCTCCCAATAACTCTCATAACTAATTAATTTGCACAAACAATTACTATCAGGACAATTTTGTTTAAGGAAATGCAGTCACAGGCTAGACTCAGCCATTAATGCTTCACTTTTTAGGAATGACTGTTAGAAAGCAGTTTTGGACCCCTTCTGCAATGGTCTGATAGCATTGAATCAAAGTTATTTGAGCCTAGTTCTTCATTGCATTATTTCAGGTTTATGCCACTGTAATGCCATTGAAACTGCAGGTACAGTACCGGAGTGGTGAATCATGTTCTATATTAGGGATGTTAAAATATGTTTGAGTAAAAGTGTAACCACTGAGTTTTTTAGCAGTCTCCCCTGACCCCACCCACTACTGCCTCTTTCATGGAGTCAGCAGGCATGTAACTGAGAGTTAACCAATAAACGCAGGCTTATTAGTTGACCAATGGACATGGATAACCAACATCCCTCCCCTACATCTTCAAAACTAAGTCTCCGAGAGTGGGCTAGAAGGTGGCAAAACTATGTCCATGCCAAGAAAGCCAGCGCACTGCCAATTTGGGAGGCTGAAGGAAGGGGAACGGAGCACAATCTTATTAGAATAGTGACACATGAAGTAATGGCAGTGGAACAGCTGCTGCAGGGCTGTGTATTTCCATACTAGATCGTACTGGAGTGTTATGGTGGAAAAACTGTTTGAGATAAATGAAGACAATTGCTTATTTAAAGAGATAATGTTGCAATGTTTTCTTCTCCCAACCAGGCCATAGAAAGCATTGAGGAGATTGCCAGCTTGTGTCAGTCTGAAACCGAGGAAGTACGAAATGCTGCCAGGGAATCAACGCTGTCATTTGGTAAATGTTTACTGCAACTTTAAATAAAGATGCTGAAATGAGTGTTAAGATTAACCATTAAAACGACGCAGGCCTAAAGTTTTACCAACATTCTTCAGCAAAACTAAGAAATTGAAAGGGAAGTAAAGCTGAGCTAACAGGTGTAGAGATGTTTCATGACACACTGTGTTGAACATTACAACAGTCTTAATGCAACATGCATACTAAGTCATCTCTCTCTCTAGGCTTAGAAGACAGCTTGAGAGGGAAGTGCTGGACAAACTATTGCTCACTGTCCCTTTACAATGGTTAACAAGATTATTTCAGGCAACAAGGCATAAGGTTTTCCAGCACTGTGGTAGATTTTGTTGTTAGCAATAAAATTGGGTACTACCAGTCTTCTGGGTGCTGTAATGGTAAAAGTCTAACCAGGCTGAAGTCTTATTGAATCTACGTAGTTTAATTTACAACAGATGTCCATACTACAGACTCTAAAATTAGGGGACCAGCTGCACCGATGCACACTGATTCACCTTTTGTTACTACGATCCAACGGAGTTACAGCAGTGTACAACTTTGTTTGAATTGGGGGTAATCAGGCTTAGAAAGTAACAATCAGCAACAGAGGGGTGTACTAATTAACGTGCATTTTCCATATAGACACAGTAAGCTTTGATCCAGCTGCCATCAAGAAACAGATTAGGCTGGCATGGATAGGGTCTGAATCTATGCAATTACTATCTGAGTGAGCCAGAATGGGAGCATAAAGAGACTCCCCAAGTACCTTTGGCAGGCCTTAGCTTTGCTTTCACTTGTGCTACATTTCGCACCACATCTCGATGTGTGGCCAGTGACTAGACAACTGCCCCAGGGTAACAAGAATAGTTGCATTTTAAGATATTCCTTTACAACAATTCAACTGCATTCAGGCCAAATTGAGTAAACTACTGGTGATTTTCGGTGTCTTTTGGAGAGGCCAAAAGATTCCTTAAATGGTCCTGATTCTTAGCATATAGATAGATGCTCAGTTATTTTTGGAAACCGGGTCCCTTAAAAAAAAGGGCAGTAATTTTCAGAAGTGACTCAACACCCTGTAACTAGGTCATAAGAAGTGTTGCGGTAAGGTGAAACTCCAACAGCTCCTCACTTCAGAGTCCCACTCACTGAGATTTATGTCTTTTGTTTGTAGGTGAAAAAGGACGACTAGCCTTTGAAAAAATGGACAGAGTTTGCTGTGAGTTGAGAGAGACAGTGTACCAAGAAGCGGAAATTGAAATCACAATATTTTAAATAATGAAATGTTGACTGTGTCCTACAACCCAGATGTGATGATAGAAGGATTTGGTTTCTTTGGTAGATTTTCCTTTAACCAATAGCTGGTTTAATTAGCACACACTGGTATCTAGCAAAGGATATCCCAATATGGGGTGGGAGCACATGTGGGACAGCTCCATTTGGGTGAGGCAGGACTAAAACATGTGTCTCAGCAGCTGTATCAGAATGCTTCTGGCTCCGAGAGCCAAGATCATGAAATACCACTACATGGTGCTAATATAAATCCAGCAGCCCCTCTCAGGCTGGGTCCACTAGAAAGCACAATAAGCTTCAGAACAACTCAGTCTGCAGTGCCCAAAATAGTAGGCCAAAGGGTAAGTCTAATAGGAGATCACAAAAGGATAGAACTGGAAGGGACCTGGAGCGGTTTAGTAGTATTGTGTTGGTTCATTAAGAATCTGGTATTCTTGGAGTTGCACAAACTCATGCCCCCTCCTCTCTCCGAAGAAAAAAAGAAAAGCCCAAACCACCAAAACCTCTCAACTCCTTGCAGTTGGTTTGAGGATTTATGAAGGGGAAGGGAGCAAAGGTAAAGAGTAGCCTTATAACTGACAGGTGTGACAACGCCTCTATCTTACTGCAGAGAGCATAAGAAATATACCTTAGCTTCAAGATGTGGAGGTTTCCTTTCTGCGTCACCTGTATGAATTCTGATCAGATGTCACTAGGTCCATTAGTAATCCTCCCAAAGTTTTACAAACTACATAAGTGAAGGGTCAGCTCAGCTGGTGTGAAAAAAAAACGTAACTCCTTGGACTTCAATGGAACTGGTTTACAGCAGCTGAAGAGCTGGTCTGAATGTGGTTTTCTATGGCCCTTGGAGACAATAGTGCATGTAAACAGTCTCACTAATGAGACAGAATACTATATACTATTAGTCAACGTATACTAGATTTGCAGAAAACTAGTATAAGCTAGCTCCAGTATCAACATGTACTGAAGACATAAGCCAGCACTTGTTCTGTCTGAAATCACAGAAGCTACCACCCACTTTAAGAGGAGAATCCAACATCATTTCTAGGCTGGTCTGGGCTTGCAAATCTGAATAAGGTCTTAAGTTCATTGCTTCCAGAAAACAAGTGTAACAATGTGAAGTAAATAAACTGGGATGGCAGTGCTTCAAGCAAGAGATTTTGAAATTAAAGCTGATCTGAATAAGCATAGATTGGAGGAAACCATTGAAAGTTTCTTCAGACTCATTTGTTTAAGAATTCAGAACATGCATATCCTTCACATTTATGGAGAAAGTGTACAGAACTGAGTTGTATACGACAGCTCCGGCAGAAGTGCAGAGTTTATTTATACACATACTCAGTTAATCTTAGGCTAAGGTTAAAATAGTACCTGAAGTCAGACTCCTTAATCTGTACTTAAGCACCCAGCTGTGGCTTGATTTTCAAAAGAGCTGAACATTCAGCAGCACCTGGAGAGTAAGGCCACTCATTTGAGTATTTAAATATAGATTTAGGACATTAGGCACAATACTTGAACAGTTTTGGTCTTTATGTATATATGATACAGCATATTATGCTTTATACTTTTCTATTCTGTATTTATTTCTATGTTTGTTTATATACAAGTTTCTACAATTTTAAATAAAACAGTAAGCGCTTGCCTTTTTGCAAACTGTGTCTGCCAAAAACATTTTTTGGGGCAACCACTAATTAACAGATTTCCTCAAAAACCAGGGAAATAAAACTCCCCCCATATTTCAGCTGTGGTTTATCATATTTAGTTCTATGATCAATGCTTATGAAATATGACATGAATTTAAGTTAGTTTAGTTACCAGTTATTTTGGAAGCATTCTGAGCTCATTTTAAAAACTTACCAGTCAATGAGGTCAGAAAACAAAGTTTTTCCTAAGTCTGCATAGCACCTGCTTTGGTCCTTTTGGGGAAATAAATGGAACACAGACTTTGTATTCACAGTCAGGCTGAAACTTTTTGTTCTCGCACAAAACAAGGATGTAAGAGATGAGACACACATTGGCTTGAAAAGCATTCTTAGGTTACTGTACCACACTAGCATGTGGATCAGGCGCTCTCCCTTAGCAGTACACAGGGCTCCACTTACAAGATGAGTGCTTGCACAGAGCTGTACCATTTTCATATATTACAACTCCATCCTTCCAAGAGAACAGGAGATAGCTTATGTTGAAAAGCGAGAGCACTGAAACACAAGAACAAAGCTGACCCAAGCTGTAGTTTGAGCTAGGCTATATGTAGTTACACTAGTGAGACAAGTGAGACACCCTAGGCTCTGACACTAGTGTTTTCCCTCGCGTCTTTTTAAGGAGTTACTGGAAAACACATCTCCAGGCAGCTTTACTTAAGTTATCTACAACAACAGAGCAGAGAGATGTATACATTCACCACTGTACTAGCAGACATTGGCCTAAGGCTAATCAAAAGGCCTGAAGTTTGTCTTACTAAAAAAACCTCACCCAAACACTATGAAAAAGCATCCTAAGTATCTGGAGAAGTCAAATTTACATCTGCAGCAATCCTTGTTGTACAGGCTGCTATAGCATATAGTCCCTTCCTGAAGAACAAATTTAGCAAATTAAGCCATGGCTGAAGAACTGGAAAACAATCACAGTGCTTTAGAGAGCTTTAATGTTGCACATCAGATGATTTAGGATACGACCTATGAGAAAGCAGATCTGTAGTGAAAATTCATTTTATTTTACATCAGACAGTTATTGACTTGAAAGCAAGTTTTCTGCACTTATGGAAATATTTCCAGCATTTTCTGTTAATAACAAAATAAAATAAAATAAAAAAAATTAAAAAAACCCCAGGAGGTGAAGTCCTCTTGGTAACCCAAGGGCCTAAATTTGTTAGTGACTACATTTCTACCTCTGTGATAAAACAGGAAATGGAAAGACACATACATCCATTCTTTAAAAAAGTTTTATTGATGCAACTAAAATGAGAACTGAAAACTTGTATGGGAAATTGAAAAACTGTACAGTTACTGAAAACTGTGAGGTCATTGCAGCGCCTTACACAAAAGACAGGATACCTGAAAATGTATTATACCAAAACATTTAGCTTTGTTTTTTATTTTTAATTTTTTTTTAAAAAAATGTTTATTCTATGGCAATCTGTAAAAAAGAAAGACCTGATGAGTAAATATTTGCTTAAGGCATATAGCAGAGCAGCTCACTAACTTTCTAACAATTTTAACATGGATATTTGTCAACTTTTCCAAGAATAGGTTAATCAATACACCCACTTTGAAACACTACTGTATATACACACCCAAACTACTACATACATATACAGGACATCAAAACAAAATGCTTACAGTTTAGCATTATAAGCCTTATGCACACCTCATGGTTTATAGGGCATTCCACTAAACCTACTACAGTACATGGTCTCCTTGACTTCAAATAGATGAAAGCCAAGTAGCTAAGTTAGCTGGGAGAAAGGAGCATGTTCACTAGAGCTGCTTTTTCTCTCTGAACAGTGAGATGTGTCTTGAGTTGTATCTTGTGGAAAAGGTTGCATATACAGTATAAATGGACTTGAAAGAGGGATGCTATGCTTTCTCCTCAATCCCAACTTTCACGTTTCTCTAAATAAGGGATAATATTGCAAGTCCCAATCAGGTCATGGGTCATTTCTTTCACGAGTCTTACTTTGTTTCTAGCGATCAAGAAGGGGGTCACAAAGTACTCCCTGGAAATCTTGCTTTATTGGTGACCTTTACGAAAGCAGAGTTATCTCCCAAATGCAAGTATCTGAAGGCAGCACACCAAGTCATTCTGAAATGCGGACAGATTTGCTGCCCAAAACTGACTGAAGGTGAGGTGTGAATATGGCTTAAACACACGCTTTGGAATGTTTGTATTATACTGACTCAGATGAAATGAACTATGCTAAACAACTGGGTTACACCGAGTATGCAGAAATTGAATAGAAAACCCATGCCAAATATTAGGCAAGTACATGTTACCTGATAAACACCAAGTCACTGTATCACTGAATGAAGACACTTTCAGCAATACCCTTTGAACCACAGCCACTTAAATGATCAGATCATGCAAATATTATTTGGGCACATCAGTAAGCAGAAGTATAACTTTTCAATCTTTCAAGCACATGGTATTTAATCAGGACACTAGAAGACTTTACATGCATTCTAATACAAAGGGGATTCCAATATTGCCTTAGAACAATATTCTACCAGATGGAGAGAATAATGGGGACAAAGCAATCACATACTGTATTTTAAATACACAAATGATCCATTATATATTATTATTTTTCTATACTCAATTTTTCATGTTTCCAATAATATACTAAATACTGATTGCTTACAATATCCCCCCTTTCACATACTGGTCTGACCAACAATCTCACAGGTAAATTTCTAATTCCCAATACTACCTGAGGATGCATTTATTATTGTACTTTTGAGAAGCCCTTGATGCAAGCTTAACATTTAAAAAACCCCAAACAAAAACAACCCTTCCACCCCAAGTCAACACCCTTATGGATTTAAGGAAAGAGCAAGAGCTACAAATAGCTTTGAAAAAAAATAAATATGGAGTGAAAGGACTGTTACACAATATACTCCATAAAGTTTACACTGAGAATGGTGGTTAAGTGCTATACAACTAGAATGCATTTTAAAAGCACTGATTAGTAACACTTGCAGATCAGTCATCATGGTTTAGCTAGAACCACTACCGTTTTAAGCAGTGAATTTGCTTGTGATCTCTGCCCTATGAGCAAAGATTTTTTTCTCTATTATTGTTTAAAATGTACAAATTTGGTACTCATGATAGGAAAGATCTAACAGCATTGATGAGAATTAGGTTTAGTGCTATGCAAGCTTCCAGTCACTACTCTGCTAGTGCACTAACCCCATTCAAATCCTGGGCCTCTTGAGTAGGCACAGCCAACCGTGCCAAATTGTGTCACCATTGATTGGTTGTATTATCCTAATTGATACGCTACACCATCCAGCTCTTCTCTCACTATGAGCTAGCATAGCAACACCCATATCAGCAGAGCTCAGGCACTTAACGCCCCTTACGCCAGCAATCATTTAACAGCATATTTGCAAACCAAACCAAAGTTAATATTGAAATCTTTGCTTAAAAAAGAAGAAAAAAACCCACACAATTGCTTGCATCATGGTAAGCCAACTGGTACGTTCGAAGATCAACATGCCTTCTGTTGACCTTTTAAGTTTAAGGAAGCTGCCATGGCATTAATTGCTCTAGATAGACTGAAATGCTTTCCCAATAGTTTCTTGCATCACCCTTGAGGATCCTCCGCCTCCTTCTGGTTTGTGCACAAAGCACGATTCTCCTTACAAGACAGGTTTAAGAGTGAAACCGGATATTTACATTCCAAATGAAGTTTAAAAACTGGTCCTTCTAAATGCCAACCGAACAGCTGTAAAATGCTGGTGGACATGTTTTGGTTGAATTTCCCTTCCTGCTTTTCTCCCCTCCTCCCACCCCAGAATATAAAGGTAAAAACAACTTTACAGAGACTGGTACAATGTAAGTAGGCATAGGTGCAAGTCGAGTGCAACAAAAAAGTCAATGGGGAAATACATTTTGTTAAATGTTTGACATGTTGGGATACCCTGAGCAAATGCAGAAGCCTGTTTTTAAAAGATCTGTAAAACAAGAAGCTAGTTAAGAACAGTTATGCCATAATTAAATATTTCAATACCACAGGCACTGCCCACAACTCAGTCTTTAATAGGTGAAGGGAGACAAAAAAGAGCCCTCTCCTTTCCAAAAAGTTTACATTCTTCAGTTATGTGGATTCTCTAAATAAGTGGATTCTCTCTCTTTTTGGGAACTCAGTAATAATATAAATCATGTATTTGGTTACAACACTTGGAGAGTACAAGCAAGTTTCACTTGTGCCTAGTTTCTTTCTGAAATAACACAAAGAAAAAGAACTGGCTTTTAAAAAAGGCTAAAAACAACAATGTGTTGTAATTCTATTATTCCATAAAAAAAGAAAAAGAAAAAACAAGACTTATTTGGCATTTTCTCTGCTTACTCCTGAATATTTTAAGGCCCTGAGATTAGAATATTATGTTCTTGGGACCACAGGGCTAAATTAAACCCTAGTGCATCAATTCTCTCTTTAAGCCCTAACCAAAAGTTCCAGCCTTTCAACCTAAGAAATATTGCCACTGAGACAAAGCCCAGATGCCTCAATTGGATTTCTTTCACAGAAGCAGATTACACACTGGTCAAATGGTGGTTGTTCTCTGTATACTGAATCTTGCCGACCTGTCCATCAATGAAAACATACCCGGTAACAGAGGTATGCTCCTGCAGTGAGGACAGTGAACATACAGATATTCACTAGAAATGGCTTCCAAGTGGACATCATGTTCTCATCATCCTCTTCTGAGTTTTCTGACTTCACTGGCTCTTCTTTGTGGGGTGAGGCACACAGATTTTCACCCAAAGTTCTCCTCCTCAGTTCAGTGTCTTGACTAGTGCTGAGAGATTGAAAAACAAAACAAAACCCCCATAAATATTCAGCATAATATTCTCCACTAGAGGGGAAACGCATGCAGACACTGAGACCCAATTCAGAGCTACCTCACTGATGCTTACAGATGAAGCTGTACCAGGAGATCTAACACCTGATGTACAAGATGTATTCTTTTAAAGAGTGGGCTATGCCCACAAAAGCTCATGATATCATCTACATGTATTGTTGGTCTTTAAAGTGCTACCAGACCATTTGTTGTTGTTTTTTATATTCAAACTGATATTTATTGTCTTGATCAGTTGTATGTTGCTAGTAAACACTTTGCTTCTTATCTCAAGTTAATCGCCGTATACTCTATGGTACCCAAGGATCTACCCCAGTAGCTCTCATGCTATTTGCCACTGAGGGTCACATATGCAGCTCTGTGTTACTGAGCTGCAGCCATACAACCTGTATGGCCCTGAGGATGTCACATTGGCCACAGCTGCGTGCTCCTGGGGCCGCAGATTGAGAACGGATCTACCCAGTTCAAATCCTTCATTTCAATGCCACATATCAGGCAGCCACCCCCACGAACAGGAATTTCTGACAGCGAATGCAGTCAAAGCTATTCTGTGCCCTTAAAAAAAAAAAAAAAAAAAAAATCACATACACTAATTGCACCAATTAGCTGGCTAACCCTGCTATCACTATGCACAATTGTTGGCGCAAGACTAGGATACAGCTCTATATAATAATACACAAAAACACTCCTCAATTAAGAGATTAAGGCTGCAAAGTCAGGCACTCAAAACTACAGAAATGCCAGAATTAAGTTTACTTATGTAACCTTGATTCGGCTTCTTTGAGTATATGCACTAGGAGAGTACAATTACAAGATCACATACTATTTTTATATCCTTAAAAGTGTTTTAATTTTAGATATATATTTAATTTTGTGCTTTGTTTTCTAGATTTTTAAAAGTATCTTAAAAAAATCAAGTTCCATCATGTGGCATCACACAGACTTCTAACCTGGGCCATTGGCAGGGATGCTAGAGAGCAAGCACCTTCTTTTAGAAATAATAATAATAAAAATATTTGGGGGACCAACTTAAAAGTGAGGAAAAACTACTGAATGTGCCTCATTTTGTCTCAATACTTCCAGCTCTCAAGGTCACTCTCTCCAGCCAGTTTCACAAGATGGAAGTGGCTAAAGACACTAAGTTTCCCAGCTTTAGTTGCCAAAAAATATCTCCAGAACTTTGTGGGAAATGCTGAAAGTTAGATGCTCCTGTTTCTAGTATTCCCTTGCAAAACTGGTGTGGTGTTTTAGTCTAAGAATAGCCTTGGACTTCTCCCCTCAACTATTCTCTCATGACTTCTGATGTCCTCTCACATTTTCCTCCCAGAAGGGGTTTTTAGTTGGCTATCTTGGAGAAAGACTGCCAGAAACAGATCAATATCCAGTACATTAAAAACTACGGATTGTTACAGTACAATCTACTAGAATCTATTGAAACATAACAGATCCTGTATTTCAGATGTGTAGAGTATCAGTGACATCTAGTGGTTAAACACAAACACCACTTCCCCATATTCCCCATCCCAAGTTACAGATTTATTCTTTAGGCTAAACACTTTAATCTAGGCTGAAAGTGAATAAATTCTCATCAAGAGATTTTCTTTTAAATGATCAAAATCTATATGACCTGTAGTAAAAAGCAAATAGCTCCCGAGCATGACACAAACATCCTGAACTGTAGCTTTAAGCTCTCTCTCTCTTTCTCTCTCCCTCCCCACCATCACCCCCACCCCTTTCCCTTCCCCTATTTATTTCAAGTTTTCTTATCCCCTAGTCATAACTCTGGTCATCTGAAGAAGTGGGCTGTGCCCATGAAAGCTCATACCACCATCGACATTTTTTATTAGTCTATAAAGTGCTACCAGACAATTTGCTTGCTGTTTTTTTAAAAAGGTTAATAGGATGAACTGTATCTTTAAAAACAATGAGTAGTGCTGTGGCGCCTTAGAGACGAACAAAAAATATATATAGTATCATGAGCTTTTGTGGGCACAACCCACTTCACATGAAATGAGCTCAAGTCATCTTGAAGGCAAACTGGTGCTTTGATGTTACATGAAAGTTGCCTGCCCCTGTATTCTAACAGAGACAGAATAATCTTAGAAGGAGATTTTAAAATATAGTAGAATATATTTGATCAAGTATGTAGAGCACCAGATACCTGCACTAACTGCTGTGGTTGACACTAGCTGGCGTGACAATCCACCTAATGCGTACGAGATAACTAAATCAACTGTACAACAAAACCTTTATGCACTCACATGTGAGGCTAAACCAGGAAGCCATTGTGCCATCTCCTCTTTTACCAAAGCTTAGGAAGAGCTGTCATCCTTTTCACTACGCATGTAGGCCTTTGGAAATCAAGGGCTAGAACCCAATTCTAGGAGCGCTGTTACAGAAAAGTGGCAAGTTCTGTCCAACACCCTGAGGTGGTGCTAAGTGGCTCAGATAAGGGAACGTTCTACAACCCTAACAGCTGTGAATCTATAACCATTTCCTGGAACAGTCAAAAAAGTCAACCCAAACCACCTGACTGAATTACCTGTCTGTACTCAGTTGCACAGGTAAGCCATCGGGCACCATCTCCTCCACAGTGCTGACTGCACATCTGATCTCCTCTTCTACCACGGGGTGCTTAGGGAAAAACTCTGTGTGCTCATGCATCCGCCCATTGAGCATTTCTGATGTTCGCTTTGGTGGCCTCGGGGGTGGAGGAGTATGTTCTGGTGGAGGGTCCAAGTCTTCATTGGAAAGCTCTTTCCACTGCTCCTTCACAGAAGAAAGTGGCTATTAAGCTCTGCTGTGTTATAATATATTAATATTAAACCCCTGTAATTTTAACAGTAATGGAGTAGAAGCTTATACATTAGTCATTGTTTTACTTTCAGGATAACTGTTCAGAGGCATTCACTACCCCTCACACCAACTACCTAGCATACCCTCAGCCCAACCACACATATGGAAAACATTCCCTGGAGATTTAATTTAGTGCTTCACCTACATGAAACACTTAAGTAGCACAAAATGGGATTCATGTTGCTGTAGTATTACTTAGCAATAACTTAAACATGCATGCTTCAAAAGGAGACAACAGTGGAAGAATCTACAGCATGTTGGAAAAATAAGGGACTAAATAGAAGACTTAGCAAAATAGCCTCTCCAAACTGTTTCCCATAGGGATACATGGAGAATTTTGCATGTGACAGCTGCTGCTATGTGCTATTTGTACCAGTACAAAGACATGAATGTGTGTAACACAATGGATTCAATCCAAGAGCACTATGCAAGAATTTAAGTTATTGTACAATAGTTGTGTCAAGGGTTGTATGCACTTTAGTGATTTATTCAGCCCCCTTAAAGTCATTAAACCATCTTCATAACATTTGCCTGGCTACATACAATTATGAGTTTTTGGGTTCTTAAATCAGGGGAGAAAATAACTTAAATTTCTTACAAGCACTGTTGTAAGTGTGTGATGGAGTGCAGGAAGCTCAAGGCAGTGGGTGGGGATGTGTGTGTGTGGGGGGGGTGCAGGAGTCTGGGCGGGGAGTGGTGAGGAGTTCAGAGTAGAGGATTGGAGTGTGCAGGGAGGGGTGCAGGATCAGAGCAGGCAGTTGGGGCTGTGTGTGTGCACACCTGTCCTTGCTGGTCCCCTTCATTTGTTCAGTCAGGGAACACCACAGCTCATCTGCCTTGCCCGAGTAAGAAGAACGCATCAAACTATACTTTTCCCTTACTCCCCGATATTGACAGGAAAGGGAACACAAGTAGTGTCCCCATATGAATCTCGTAGGTGAGGGAGCTTTAGCTCCACATGCCCTTCCTAAATGGCTCTCTGTCTCAGAGCTGGGCCAGTCTCAGACTGGTGGGGCAGAGGGATGAGAGAGGGGGAAGAGCATCACTAGCTGACTCTTTCCACCAGCCTGCAGCCAAGCCCCGGGAGCCTGGCTAGGACCATGCTGACCCCAGCCAGCTGCTCTGGCTCCTTCCCAGAGCAGCTCACCCACTTATTAGTCACTTCTGGTCTTAATCTACTGCACAACTGCTATTGTTATATGCTGTATAGCTATCATTATGTCGACCCCTGAATATGAGAGAGATAAGGACAATGATGTAATCTTTTATTGAATCAACTCCCTCACCAATGGCATGTACTCAGTACTCACCTGCACTGAAGCATCCCCCATAATAAATTTTGCTCCTTCAATAACAGCCAAGTAAGAGAAACGAAGTTGATCTGCTGTCTGTATAAGCCCCATTCTGTACTTTCTCATTTCTAAGAGAACTTGCTTAATGTCCACAGAAGAAGGATCTTTCCTTTTGTCCATCTGAAGGTAAAGATTTAAAACTTGCTTTACACAGATAGCCATTCTAATAGGTTTCAACACAATGACTCATTTGTTGCTTAGGCTTCAAACTGCTCCCATATTAATGAATGACTAGAATGGGGATATTCATATGGCTTGTTCAGTTCTCCAACATGTTTCCAAAAGGGCATGGGGATAAAGGTAACATATGGGACTTCTATCAGGCCTGCATTGCTTTAAGAGAGATTTTTTTTTACCTTGCAATAACTAGTGAATGTGAGCTATTCAAGGTTAAACCCCCCCCAGAGAAGACCAGGTTACAAGACCATTTTAGTTTAGTCTCAGGGTAAATTAGGCAAGGACCACTCTTCTTAGCAGGAAGACAAAACGTAACTCACTCCTTATTCCCTTCGAGCGTAAGTGATTCTTACCAGTAGAAGACACGTATCAACCAAACAAAAAGTTCCTGATCTTCCAATTCCTGCACTGCAATGCACCACAATAGGTCCGTGCTCATGACTCAGTGAGCCAGACTCTCTCACTTTGAACAGGAAGTTGAGGAATGAAGCAGGAGATTCTGGGACTCCAAAGTCAGGCCACGTGGTATAGTGAAAGTGCAGAATTTCTCTAGTTTCTTGTGCCTGTAAAAATGTTTCCAAGCTATAAGACTATCTAGATAGGATGTAAAAGGTATTCAACCACAGGTATTGTCTGCAATACAAAATACTAATCAGAAGAAGGATACTACTCACCACATGTTCTTATATCTAGTAAGTGACCAATTTTCATAATATATTACATCCAAAGGGATTTCCATGCTGGTAAAATCAAATTCGAGATGCTACAAATATACACATCTACATTCTACAATTCATAAGGAATAGGGAAGGAACTGAATTTATGCCAATCTGATTTCTCTTTCAAATCTTACCTTGAAAATGATTCCCTTAAAATTTATGCTGCGCAAATTCTACTCACCATTCTATTACTTTGTTCTTCCACTCTACTCAACCATTCAGCATGAATACTTGCTGGCTTGTTTGCTGCTTTCCTTAATTTCAATCTCAGGTAGGAAACCTAAGGCTCAGGGTCCGGACTTGGCCCCCAAGGCTCTGGGTCAGGATTTGGCCCATGCTGGTGCTCCAGCCCTCCTGCCAACCTCCCGTGGGGTTGGAGCACACACAATCTACCAGCCTGGGCCTCTCTAGGCTGTGATGTGCGAGGGGAATGTGGGGAGTTTTTCTCCTTTTCCCTCGGAGACTGTCTCAGTGAGGTTTTGTGGTTTGTTTTGTTTTTTTCCTTCTTACTTGTGTGTGGCCCACGACTGATTTTTTTCAGCGACCGCCGACCCAGAAGAGGTTCTTCAACCCTGTTCTAATCTGATTTTCCTATGAAGTTTTCCCATTCTGCACTTAAGAGCTGCAAGCCCAAACTAAAGCACCACTTGCTTGTAAAAATATCATCAGTGTTTACACTCAAATACAAATTCTCTTCCCATAAAAGCTGTGTGATGTTTCGAATGGACACCAGACAAAACTAAATTATACAGTAATTTTACAGTTGATAACTTGGATGTTCATTTTATCAGCCCCATATAAAATAGGCACGACAGCCTTCTGGTTAGGCAGGCTGGTTGAAATCTTGGGAAAATGAGGTAGCTCAAGTTGCAGGAGCAGCTCAGACTTGTCCAAAACAGGGACCTTATATCGGCAGAGTCTTCTCTTTCACAACCAACATCCTCTACTAAGCTGAAAGCCATTTCAGAAGAGTGTTAAAACTGATGCTCTCAGCTTCCTGAAATCCTGAACAAAGCTTTAGCAGTGCCTGCAGGAAGCAGACTTCAAGGTTTCTGCTAGTCATATTTGTACATGACAATGGACTTACATTCAGCTTCCAGGCTAGGAGCAGCATGAAAGCAAGGTACTAAATTGTTTAGGAGGCTATAGGTCAGGGGTGGGTAACTTAAGGCCCGGGGGCTGGATGCAGCCCCTCGCTTGCCTGGATCTGGCCTCCGAGATTCGGAATCCCCCTCCTCTCCCCAAACACTGTGGTCCAGGCCCACCATAGGTCTGGAGAACAGAAAGTCTACTAGCCTGGGTCTCCCTAGGCTCTGGTGTGTAGGGGGAATGTGGGAAGTGTCTTTCTTCTTCTCAGTCAGGGGCCATGTCAGTAGTGTGCGGCTCCTCTATCTCCACTGCTATTTGTATCTGAGTAGTGTCCCTCTGCTTTCCTGCTGCCAGAGTCATTCCTCCTGCAGTGAAAAAGTCCAGCAGTGGGAAAAGGCTTTGGCAGCTCATTGCCCCATATAGCTACACACCATAGTTCGAACGCAGCCTGCTTTTCACTGTAGTGTGTAACTACACATGCCCGAGGAGTAGCTGTCAGTGTCTCTTGTACTCAGGACCAGTGTTCTCTAACTTTTCCCATCCTTGTGCAGAATTTTGTTATGTGCGTTAAGGCATGTGCGACCGTGCACCACCAATAGAAACACATGCTGCTGGCTGTGAGCACACTGATAATCAGCTGAGCAACATGTGAATTGCTCCTGGGTGGCTGCCCAAGCACACAGCTTACGAAGAACACTTCTCAGGACCTGGAAATACAGCTCAATGATGGGGAATCCAGGGACAACATGATTTAATTGGCCTGCTCTCCATACTTACAGCAAGGTTTTCCAATTCTAGCTGTCGTACTGTGTAATATGATTTTATATCTTCAGAGATCAAGGTTAACTTCAAGTTTGTATCCTCAAAGAGCATTTCTTTCTCCTCTTTCTGTGGCCAGTACTGTGCACACTTTATCTAAAAAAGCAAACAGAAGACAAGCACTAGTTACTTGGCTCTATGGTAAAGGCGAGGAAAGAGGAGTGTTCCTTAACCCACGCTACTCTGCACTGATTAGGCCTCAATTGTAATAGTGCGTCCACTTCTGGGCACTACATTTCAAGAAAGATGTGGAGGAAATAGAGACAATCAAGAGAACAACAACAAAAATGATTAAAAAAGTCTAAAAAACATGACCAATGGGGGAAGACTGAAGGAATTGGGCTTGTTTAGTTTGGAAGAGAGAAGACTAAAGAGGACATGATAGCCGTTTTCAAAGTTTTCAAAGAGTGTTACAAGGAGGAAGAAAAACTGTTCTCCTTGGCTTCTGATGATAGGAGAAGCAGCAATGGGCTTAAATTGCAACAAAGGAGGTTTAGATTTGACATTAGGAAAAACTTCCTGTCAGAGCAATTAAGCACTGGAATAAATTGTGGTTGCAGAGTCTTCATCACTGAGATATTTAAGAGCAGGTTAAATAGACATCTATCAGGGATGATTTAGATGATGGCTGGTACTGCCGTGAGAGCAGGGGCCTGGACTTGACTGACCTCTTGAGGTTCCTTCCAGTTCTAGTGTTCTATGATTAAGTTATATTACATGTATTACTATGGCACCAAAGAGTCCGGAGTATATTGCAATAAATTCAAACACACATTTTTAAAAAGAAATAGTTCTTGCAGGATGGTCTCCTGTTTCCAGTACATTGTGTGTGTACCGAGCACACCTTGATATCTTTCACAAAGGCCCAGATGATGGCCCTCGCTGAACCCCTGGAAAATTCCCAGAGCACAAAGGTGGCTTAGGGTGAATGCAGCCCTTCTACTCATCCTCTGGCACAGGGTTATGCATGGATGGGGGATGGATCAGGGTAACTGTGTCAGATGAGATTTTTGGGGTTTCCATTAACTCTCCACAAAAAATAAGTCTGAGATGATTGTGATTGCATATGGCATAGTTTAAAAGTTATGAAATTTTAATTGATCTAAAAAAGGAATCTGCAAATATTTCTGTTACCTAACTCCTGACTGTACCTAGTAATTTTCTCAGTAATAATTTTCCAAGAAACCTAAAGTCTGCACCAATAAACTGTTGACATGCTAGAAACTAAAATGAGTCAGCCAAAAACATAAGTAGTGCATTTTTCTCTGTACAAAGGGGAAATGACACTAAAGGATCTTCTTAGCATACTTAAATCTGCAACCACATTTGACAGCTAGACCTATATGTATATTTTGAATGTTGAGAAGTGCTACTTCTCAGAATTTGACACAGCTCCTCTGAAACCAGATTATGATCAGCGTTCCAAATCTATGTTTGCAGAGGAAATGCATTAAATCTGCATATGGATAATGCTTCTTATATTACATTGTAAATAAACTGGTCTTAATTTGCAACAGAACAAAATTGAAACAAGAAAGCTGGTTCTTACATAGTTTATTAACATCGAAAATTAGTGAGTCATTATGAATGGGAAAGTAATAAAATGCTAGAGAACTATCACAGGAATTGGGGTAAAAACTGGATTTAACCTCTCAGGGCAGTTTGACATTCTACAAATACCATTTTATTTGTAGATGTTGAAGGAATCTCAGGACAAATTGTCAAGTTTAGAGGTATCAAGGCCTAGCGTGCTTCCAAAGCTGATTAAATACCAAGCCGGCTGACAACATGAATAAAGTATATACAGGTTGAACCTCTAGTCTGGCATCATCTGTGGTCCAGCATAATTTTAGTTAGCTGAAAGTCCACCTTCTCATGGGCGTGGCCAAGTTTCCCCACAGTCCATAAAGTTTTACAGTTCTGGCTCTTAGGCTACCTCTACACTAAACATCTGCCAAAAAAAAAACTTGAAAAGAGGGACTCATTAGCATAAGTCATTACATCATTAGCATATTTCTGCCTTTTTCTGTGCAAGGGGTTTTTGCACAAAAAGCAGTGTAACTGCTTCCATTTTGCGTAGGACCCTTATGCCTCCAGGATAGCTCCACTACTTCTTTTTGTGCACAAACCCCTTGCAAAAAAAAAAAAACGAAACAGCAGAATATGCTAATGATGTTATGACTTATGCTAACGAGTCCCTCTTCAAGTTTTTTTTGGCAGAAAATATGCTAGTGTAGCCATAGCTTCAGTGTTCTATGCTGTTAAGCTCTAATTTACCCCTAAATATCTCAGAGTCCAATAAGCAGTGGAAATATTGGTAATGCTGCTAGAGACAATACTGACCACCCATGGTTTGGCAAATTCTCTGCCAGCAGTCAGATCCCAAGGGTGCTGGACTAGAGAGGTTAAACCTGTATTTATAATCTTCTGCATTTAAAACAAAATTAATCTTAGAAGAGAGGAATTAGCTTCCTATCTAATTTCTGCACCAAATGGCTCTGCAAATAACATTTTGTAGCGTTCCACTGAAGATCTCCCACTGCTGTGTGTCGAGAAGCATTAGTGGTCTGCTTTAAGGGATCATTCATTGCTTT